TCCAAGCCACATCCCAACAGCTTCACCAGATTCTTATGCTGAAGTTTTGCAATCAGAATGACCGCATTTTTTAATTCTTCTGTGCCTTGCCAAGACTTCCTTGATAACCTTTTGACTGCTACTTCACTTCCATCCGGAAGAACACCCTGAAGTTCCCAAAAATCAAACCATAAATTGCATAATTGCGTGCTTAGTGAGGCTGAAATGAAATTCAGAGACTATCTTACCTTGTACACAGAACCAAAACCTCCTTGTCCTAACTTGTTTGAATCAGAAAAGTCATCGGTGGCCAACTTAATTGTTGCGAAACTCGTAAACTCAAGTTCTTCAGAGCTAATTAATTCTCCATCTTGTGTGATTAGTTACACTATTGGGGGTCACCAATTGTTGCAGTAGCATGTTTTCGCTTTTTTCATCATCTAATTCATTTTGTTTTCAAAGAAAAAGAAAATTGAAAAATTAAAGAACTGAGGTTGGTAATTCTCGCACTACTTCGTTAACATAGTCAACAGACGAAAAATTATAGAAAAGATTCACCTGTGTCTTCCCTTTGTTTTCTATGGAAATAGGCAATACAGAAACCAGTAAGAACTGCTAAAGCCGCCTTGACCAAGCTTATTTGAATCAGAAAAGTTTTTGGTAGCAACACAAAGACTTTCAAGATCAAAGTAAGGCAAATCCTCAGATATCTTATCATTTCTTCCACGAAAATCTTGGTGACTTTGGAACACTGTTTCACCTCTCTGTCCAAAGGCATGAAGATCCATCACATGACTGTCTTTTCCTCCCTTACCTAAGCATAAGAACCCAAGCAGTTAAACAGAACAGAGAGAAAAATTCAGAAACATGAATTGACCTTATATCAGCCTATAATCTTGCATACTTTTCTGAGTTCTCTTCTTCATCCTAAGGAAGTAAACGCTGAAACTTGAAATCGCTATTGCCAAGCCAATCGCTGCTATAATTCCTGTAATCATCCCTGCCTTGTCTGTTGTACCTACATAAAGGATCATTTAAATCATCAAACTCAAACAGTTTAAGACTTATAACTTGATGCAATATTATCGATCACAGTTACCGGCAACTGAAACGCTTACTTTTTCCCCTTGTTGTAAACGAACCATTTGGATCAGGTTCACCATTATAAAATGCGTATAATTCAAATCTCAAGTAGCAGCTACGACTTAGAACTCTAGCTCCGATTGAGGAATAACAACAAATAGGTAGAAAACTTATCGCACTTTTCAGGCATGTACCACAATCACTAGCTGATAAATCTCCGGTGCATTGAACTAAGCCATATACTGTTTTCTCTTCAAAGGTTGCCTCTCCAATAGCATACAAGTATGAAGAAGCATTGAAAGATACCTTCTCTGCAAGACTATACAATAACCCATTAAACCCAGACTCAAACTTCTTGGGTTCTGAAATATTCTGTTGATTATCAAACCCCAATTTTCCTGTGACATCCACTTTGCCGAGGAAGTTCTTGCTGGAATATCGTAGTTGGCACTGCTCTTCCCAAACAACTGCTTCTTCTGCTTGGGGACAAAGTTTAAGAATGTCTTGTGTTGCCGTGGCAATGCAATCTTGGCATGTTTGATTTGAAACATAGTCGAGGCACATGAAGAGGGTATAAACTCTGTCTGGGTTTTCTCCATGAGAGACATTGTAAGATTTAGAGATTGAAGCCCTGGAAGATAGAGAACAAAGGGTGTAGCTAAGGTTGTTCTGAAAGGATCTTCCTTTGATGTAGTTACTGCTCGTTGAACAATTTTTATATGGTGGGTCAGCGAAGGAAACGCCTGAGAGGAAAGAAATAGTGCAGAGAAGAAGGAATAGCTTTGGAGAATCAACCATTTCTGCTAGTGAGTACAAATCAAAAGCACAAGAAAATATGTTGAATAATATGATTAACTGATATGGAAATATGAATTAGGCAGTTTTTAAGTTGGAACTTCGCATCATCGACAAAAGTGGGAATGATTCAAACTGGAAGCGGATGTACCGTTTACCAGAGTTGAATTGGCTTATTTAGTTTTATTATTAATTTGAATTTTAAAAGCGAAGAATTAAGCTCTTCAGAGGAGAAATTAGTTGTTTTGTTGACTAGGACCATAACCTCCAATCATAGCTCTAGTATAAACAAATGACATCCCTTGTTCCTTGATAAGCAACTTGTAAATTTATGACAGAAAACGCCTATTGTTTCAATACTAAGTTTGTCAGAACACGTGGGAAGCAAGTTGGCATTAATCAAGAAAATGCATTATGTATCAGTTATAATATTAATAACAATATATATATTTTATTAGTTTATTATTTTTGATATATCATCCACGCATTGTTTTCAGTTTTCAGCTTTTGCCGTGGCTATAATAAGCCATAAAAAGACGAGTTTCGTAGCATCTTTAACAGATTATTTTATTCTGATATATGGTCTGTATGAGTTTCTTGCTCGCCAAGAAGCATCGTCAGATCCATAGGAACAAAGAATGCAGAAGAAAAGGATGACTTGGAATCAAGAGATTAGATCAATTTTATGAAAATGGTACCTTTGTTTTTAAGTGTTTGGTTGCTTTTTGGATTCTATCCTTCAAACTTGTGCCTTTCTATTCCAGTCAAAGTTATCTAGCAAATAATTAAATGAAGAATTAACATTTACAAATTGATATGTAATTTTAAATGCAATCATTATCAATAGCATAGGAAAAACTATCAATACTAATTATCTTTCTTAAAAATGATGCAAGGAAAAATTACCTCTAATCAAACTCAACAAAAACAGACATAAGAGATACTTTTTATTGATATCAATTTAATATTTGATTTAAAATATCCTCACCCACATTTAGATTTGGTGGTTAATTAAATTATAGTCCCGTGTGATGCACGAAATGAGTTATTTATGATAATTACTATTTTAAATGGGATTAATTTATATATTATTTACATTGTCGAATAATTTTTTTCCCAGAGTATCTTATTTATTGTTTATTGTGTCGTGTTATATTATTAATATTGAACTTAGGCAGTGAAGAGGAGAAAAATAGAGAGTTTATTGATTAATAAATAGAATGGACAACTATCTGGGCCAAAAGTACCAACCATATAGCCAAGAATACAACAATGAAATTAAGATACAAATGCTTTGTGCCAAAAAAGTACGTACAAGATTTTATCAAATCTGGCCCAACTTACAGGCCTAACTGACTATCATTCCCTATGATTGAAGTTTTGATAGGTCAGGAATTATTTCTGCTTGAGTGTACTGCCACAATACAGCTTCAAATCACATTAATCATATTTAGATCTTGAATTTGTTAAGGGATGTATCTTGATTTATAATACTCTCCCCGGTCCCTTAATTATATAACCTCCTTTAAAAGAATGGGAAAATTAATTTATTTATTTTTATAATTTTGATTCAATTATAATTTAATCCCTAAATTTTAATTATGGTAAAAAAAAACAAATATCTTTTATATTTTTTAATAAAAGAATGAAGATTATAAAATTTGGATCGAAGGAAGTCAATAATGAAAATGATTTTTGAAAACAGAATATAGTTATCCTTACTTAATAAAAATATGAGAGTAAAAAAAATGCACCAAGTCAAAATATAACCCCAAACAAGATTTGGGTCAAGTAAACTTGACGATTGATTACCCTAAATACTAGATAATAATCAATTCTCAAAGCACCTTTAAAAACCACTTGATGCGGGAATTAAATTAAGTTGATAAAACCCGTTTTCCTAAACAAAGACACTCAAATACAATACATTTTAATCATAAAATCTAACATAAAACAATCTCAATGATTGTAAAAGGAAATATATATATAATTCAAATCTCAGGTTATACAATTCAATTCAAATACAAATATCCAACTAACAGAAATTATAACATATAATTTTCAAACTCAAACTACTCTTTCAGGTTCAAGAAGTATAATAGGACTAGCCTCTCATGGCTCTCTAGAAGCATCCACAACACGGTTGAATTACAAGGAACCCGTGAGAGACAAGTTGAAGGACTGGGTATGAGAGGCTCTACAGGAGAGAAATGAGACGGGGGTTGCCACTAACGAAGAATAGGAGTCGATGGTGGCGGTGGTGAGGATTAAAGAATAGGAGTAGATAATGGTGGGTTGAATTAAGAGTGAAGTCGTGTTCTGGGCTTCCAGGAAAAGGACGATGAATTGTGTTTGTTGAAGAATTGGTGGCGGCGTCAAATTGGAGGGCTTGCTCTCTCCCTGTGTACGATGGATTCATCAACTCATCCCTCCACTTTCCTATTCCAAAACGGTGTGCTTGGGTTTTCTCCTTCTTCTTTTTTAACTTTTTTTTTCCTTATTTTATTTCCAACTTTTCAATTCTTTCCTTTTTCTTCTTAGACCTACAAAATAAATTGAGATAATATAATATCATAAAGCCCCAAAATCAATCATTTGGGTAAAACTTCCTTTTTATTAACTTTATTTTAATGCAATCAATATTTAATTCAAAATAATCATAGTCAATGCAAATTATCCCATTTTAATTGATAAAAATCCCCAAAAAGATATAAAATGATATGATAAAATGTGGATTTATCACTCCCCAAATAAGATTTAATGTAATTAATAATAATGATTTGATCGGTAATACACAAACTTGTGGTTTCAAATCACACTGTCTATTATAAGACTCTTTCCTCCGAATTTGCTTTTCGTCAAAGTTCCCCGACACATTCAGATTCTTCTAAATTAGTTAATCGCTCTTTTTATCATATCTTAATGACTAAAATGGCTGCAAAATAATACTATATATTCAAAAAAAAAAAAAGTAAATGATACAATAACTTCTTTCCAAACTCAAGCTGTACAACCCACATCAACAGGGCTATAAATGAACTTCATTTCATCGAGGAATAACTTAATGAACAAAACCAACAAAAGTTGATACGTCTCACGACATATGTAAACGCATATAACACATAGAAAAGATGAAGTTCATTTCATCGAGGCAAGAACTGAGACGAGTCATTTGAAACAGCTGACTTGGAAGTTGAACTCTGGAGAGTTTGATCCAAACTCAATTCTGCGACTATAGTTGGATTGGAATGCATGAAGAATGCAGGTTCTCTTGGAGATGGTAAGTCAACGGAAAGATTGCTGAGATATGAAACAATCTGAGCCATTGTTGGCCTATCTTCTGGATTTTGTTGAACGCACAATAGCCCAATTTGCACACATTTTGTTGCTTCAGTTTGAGAACATGATTCCATCAGAAAAGGGTCCAATATTTGTAATGATTTTCCCTCATTCCACTGCTTCCAGACCTTGTCAAATAATTACACAATCAAATTCACCTTCGCATCTTAATCTTCATCAAATAGATATGACAACATGATTACAGAAAGGGGAATGATTAGCACAGATTTAATACTTACATTTGTTAAGAGGTATGATTCATAGGATCTGGCATTTCTCTTCCCACTAAGCACTTCTAAAACTATGACTCCAAAACTAAATACATCCGACTTTTCAGAAAATTGTCCATGTATTAAATATTCAGGAGCCATATAACCACTACAAAATTTAACCCAAAAAAAAAAAGACAAAATAGTACGTATCAAGCAATGTTCACATAGGAATAGATACAATCTCTTTTGTTTCTCATGCAATTGATGAACTAAGATAACCAATTAAAAAGGAGGACATCAATGCTTACTGTGTTCCGACAATTCTATTTGTGTTTCCTTGGTCTTCATCTATAGAAATCATTCTTGCCATACCAAAATCTAATATTTTTGCATTCATCTTATTATCTAGTAAAACATTGCTTGGTTTGAGGTCACGATGGATGACTTTAAGGCGTGAATGTTCATGTAGATAACAAAGTCCTTGTGCTATTCCCCCAATGATCTTGAACCGCTCAAACCAATTGAATAATCTTTGCTTGTCCGAATCTATATAATTAAGCGAGTAAAATGAAGAAATACAGAAGAATCTATATAATTAGGTGAAATAATTACGAAAGTAAGTACTGGTAACAAACTAGCTGGGAAAAATTGCATATGAAAGGATGTATGGGTAGAAGTTGAACCATATATAATATGAGGAAATAAGGTTAGAAGTTTGTACCAAATAAGAAGAAATCAATGCTTTTGTTAGGTACGTATTCATAAATAAGAATTTTTTCTTGTTTTTCCAAGCAAAATCCCAATAACGTCACCAAATTTCTATGCTGGAGCTTGGCTATAAGCAAAATTTCATTCTTGAATTCTAATGTTCCTTGCATTGAACTTCTAGAGAGTCTCTTGACAGCAACTTCTCGTCCATCAGGAAGAGTGCCCTAAAAACAAAATTGAATTATTATGATTAGGAATATGATATATAATTAGTTATTGGCAGTTAGTTTAGTATATCACCTTGTAAACTTCTCCAAATCCTCCTTTTCCTATTTTGTTCTCTTCAGAAAACTTATTTGTTGCAGCTTCAATTGTAGCTAAGCTAAATTGCAAGGACCTCAGATTAAAACCTTCTTCTCCAACTACACCACAGTATATGTGAATACTAATTTAATAAGCATGCTATGGTAAGATATAAACATTCTCAAGTTTAACAGTGAACAAACAATAGATTACAGTTTTCTTTGAGAATGGATTGGCTTCTCTTCCTTGTTTTTCTCCTCAGTAAATAGCAACCCACCAAACAAGAAAGTACAACTGAAATGCTAACGGGGACAATAATTTTGATAACAGTCTTTGATCCAGTGCTATCACTTCCTCCTGGTTATATATGTAACACCAAACAATCAGGTCACTTGTGTCATTGAGAGCTCAAGATGTACATTTAGGGCCAAATTAAAATCAAATGCTTAAGTAAGGAGTCATTTGGGTTGGTTTATTTAGACTTTGTTTGGATTCACGATTGGAAGGGTAATAAGTAGCTTTTGAAAGGCATAAGCACTCTTGATATTTTTTTCAACTATTTGGATGTATGGGCCAAAAGCTGCTTTTATAAAGATGATTGCAAGAGCACCTAAAACCTACTTAATACTTATGAGTCATGCAAAAACAGCCTTTTGAAATCAAAAGTCATTTTTGTCCTTTTGTCTATGTCGTCCTTACGTTTCTATTCGCACATTCGGATATTCCTGATGCTTCTCAACTCATTTTTAATTAGTTATTTTTAATGCTCTCTTGAATGAAAATAATTTTACCATAGATTGTAAAAAGTATATCATCCAATTTTGATGTAGACATTTTTGCTCTTCTATTTAATTTTTAATATTATTTTTTTTCGTATTTATATAAATAGTGCAGAGTGTATCATCTAATTGATTATGTGATATTATTTAGTTCAAAAGTTTTCACATTACTATAACTTTTACTGCATAAAATATTATTTAAAAAATCATATATTGTTTTTTAAATGCAAAAAAAATTATAAACTAAGTAAAACGGACTGGGCAAGTACCTTGGGGCGGCGGCGTCACGGGGCTGGATGGCGGAGGAGATGGCTGGGCTGAAACAGCCGTGTAATCATAGAAGAGGTAGCTCTCATATCTAATATAGCAGCTCGGATGGAGAACCCTACCACCATTCTTTCCTTCACAGCATAGTTGGATTCGTTGGGAAACATCCTGTAAGCAGGACCTGCAATAATCCTCAGGCAGATCTGGACTGCACTGAGCAAAAGCATACACTTTCCTATATTCGCCGGTACTATCATTTGCTGCTGCAAACTTACGATGAGAATCCCCGATTGGTGCTTGGTTCTTTACTTTGTCCAATAGTACCTGTACGTAGTTATCCGTAAGTGTCGTTGAACTTGCCAGGTTCCACAGAGGGCATATCACATCAGAGACGTTGTATATTCCATATATTGAACGATATGAGTATAGAAACGTGCAGTCGTCATAGTATCCAACTGCATCCTTCTGATTTGGACAAAGTCGTGGGAGAAGGATTGTGGCGTTGAGGAGGCAACTGCGGCAAGAATCTGGTTTCACATCGCCTCTGCAGAATCCAAATGCGTGAACGGTGTCAGGGTTTTGGCCGTAAGAGGAATTGATGAAGCCGTATTCAATGTTTGTGTTGTCGGAAGTGAAACCAGAAAGAAGGGTCTTGAGGTTGGCCAGGTAGTCACTTTTGTCTGTGTCGTTACCTCCTCCTAGGTAACAATAGAACGCTCGGAAATCAGGCTGGGCTGTGAGATTAAGAAGGCGAGAAACGAAAACGAGCAGACCGAAGTAAAGCAAAGGCATCGTGTTGAAGGAATGACAGAAGAATCGAAGCATTTTGGGTTGTTTTAACGGATGATTGAGGAGTCGGGCGTGCTTCTGAAGTTTGAAAAGTCAACTTCTTAAAGTCGAGCCATTCATTCATTGAAGAAAAACGGGACCAGACGTACGCGTCATTTCTTAATGGCAGAGAGGGCTGATAACCGTATATTTGGGGGCAAGGCCGCGATGCATGCCACTTGAAATGTTTCAATCTCTCATCTCAAATGTCTTTTTCTTTTCTTTCTTTCTTTTTTTTTTTTTAGCTCTTCGTTAGATTCTAAATAAAATAAATGACATTTTGACATCTTATGGATAAAAATGACACGGTTTTGAATTTTTTTTACAATTTTTTTAAAAAAATGTTCTAAAATTGTGCGTTATTTATTTATTAAAAATCATAAAAAAATTTATAACTGTACTATTTTTTGTTTATAAGATATTAAAATATTACTGATTTTATGTAGAATCTAATAATAATTAGGGGGAACCATTTGGAAAGTTTGGGCATTAGAAGCTCCATACCCATATTTGGGGCTATTTTACGTTCGCACAATCAGTGAAGGCAAAACAAAATGATCAGCCATGATTTAACTGAGTAGCGAACATTAATAATTTCAAGTTTGAATAGTCAAATTCTTGATTAAGTGGAGCTGGTGGGGGACCAAAAAAAAAAAAAAAACACAGCCCTCATGCTTTTCCTAGATGTTTCCTTGATTGAGACGCATGCGGTTGCAGACATTCAGACAGACGCAACTAGACATATGATCAAGTAAACCGTGAATCTATATCCGTAGATCAAAAGTGAGTCAGCAGTATGAACGATTGAATATAATATGAAATGACAAAAAATTCAACCTCCTCCTTATTATATGATACAAATTGACTTAATAGTCATTTTCCACCAACAGAAATTTGAGGAAGTTTCCGATCGCAAGACTCGGACCATTCTCTCGTTGAGAATCACACATGAATCTTTTTGGTAATAAATCACGCATAATTTTTTTTTAAATGATACTATATTGGAATCATATTTTGCCTCTGAAGTCAAATTGATTCCATCTGATCATTTTATTTTGTTACCTAGAGTAAACTGGGCTATGTTTTTTACAAAGCTTGATTCAACTATGAATGACTTTTTATTTCAGAAAGTCACACAAGCCCCCACCTTATATTTTCATAGGGAAAATTTTTAAAAAATGATAGTCAAATTTTCATAATTTTAAAAGATCACATGAATTTGCAAAATTTCAAATAATTAATCATAATGACTAAATTAAAATTGTAAAATGTTGATGAATTTATAATGTTACTTTTTAATTTTTTTTAAAAACTCTTAAGTCATCATCGCCGGCTGGCTACTAGCTAAAGCATTGGCACAGATTGCCGGTCAGCCAGCGAGGGTAATTTGTGTTTTTTTTTTAAATAAAATGTTGTTATGAATAAAGAAGAAATAGAGAAGAATCATACAAAGGAAGAGAGGATTGATAAGAGAGAGTCTTTCTCATTTCATTCAAGAGTACACAATACATTATATATGGCCTCTATTTATAGGCACAGCTTTACATCTTTGATAGAATCTCCAGATCACATGATAATATGAGATAATTGTGGGATATAAAGATAATGGGAGATCTTAGAGATTATAGGAGATATAGGAGATAAAGGGAGATATATGGACATCCACAAAGATATTATTATATTCATAACACTCCCCCTTGGATGTCCAATATATATGGATGTGCCTCGTTAAAAAACTTCAACTAGGAAAAACCCTATGGGATAAAAACCTAGTGAAAGAAAAAGAGTACATCATTCATTGATACACTATGCAATGCTGCCTCATTAAAAACCTTGCTAGGAAAACCCAGTGGGACAAAACTATAGACAAGGAAAAAAGAGTACAGCGTGTATCAACTCCCCCTCTTGACAACATTAGTTGACATCTTGGAGCCTGCAAAGTCTAATATAACGAACAACCCTTCCAAATATTGTAATTAGATAAAACGTCAAGTATGAATTTCATAATCTTCTAAACATTATGAGGCGGATAGTCCTTTTATAGTTTACCCACATGTAGATCATGCTGTGATCTCTTAACATGAGAATCAAACAGAAATACTTTATCTACATAGCCAGTAAAATTAGTTGTGGGTACTTTCAGATATCCACGGTATCCTTTAAATGAAAAATATTCTTAATTTCGCTCCATCGTCTTTATATTAGTGACAAACTATATCATGCTAACTAGCAAATGATATATTGAGTTATGTGTGGCTAGATAGATACATATGTGCTCTAGTGACACTAAAGCATGGTACTTCTGGACCAAGTATTTGTTCATTACCTTCTAGAGGTCTAAATCGAGCTTTAACCCATAGCTAAAGATCTTGTAACTACCGAAACACATAATGGATGTTACTTATCCGCATAATGGATGTAATTTATCCATATGTATTCTTCTTAAAACTTTTATTTCAAACTTTTTCTTTAAGTAATTTGCAGTTTTTGAAAACTCATCAGGAGTTGTGATACTATCATTATAAATAGTATCGATAACAGACTCATTTTGAATCTTTTCATAAACAGACAAATTGGAATAAGTTTACAACATTCCTTCAGTTGATATTAACCACATGTGTCTCATATAGAGACTTACTTCAATGATGTTCTTGAGAACATAATTGTATACTTCTAGAAACTTAAATCCTTCAAGAATTTTCATACATTATGATCCATATCTATTCATGTATTGGATCGTTTATATTTATACAAGAATTTGAATCCTTCTGGGATTCACATATAATTTCACTACATAGTGGGTCATTGTATTTCTAGACGCATATGAGATTTTATCAAACTGCCAGATTGACAATATACATAAAAATTTTAATTCACCACAAGATTCTCTTTCTCTTTTCTTGTACAAATACCCCTTACACTTCAGGTGTTTGGGTTAGAGATACACAAATCTCCTGTTATAATGTTGCGTCTTTTCTTTTATGTTGGTCAATCATTTTTCTATCTATATCTCATAACAGATTTATATATAAGATCCTCACTTGATCATGTGATATCATCAATCAAATTATTGTCGACAATTTTATTCCTTTGTCGGTCCCGTTTTCTTTTATGACATAATATATCGAGATCTCTTTATTGCTTTCAGACACTTAAACCTCTTCAGGGGTCAAAGAGTTATGTCTTAATCTCTTTTGCAATTCATGCCTCCTTAGTATGATCATCATTATCATTTGCTCCTTTTTTTTTTCTTTTGGAACCGGTCATAACATCATGCTTTTAGCATGTCTTCAAGAATAGGAGCATTTTTAGCCGGAATATAAGAATTAAAAATTCTCATTTAGGTCAGTAATTGCATCTGGCAGACATTAGTAATGTTTTACAAATGCAATACTTCATGAACTTCTAGTTCATACTACTATATTTGAGGATCTACATTTGATAATGAAAGTATATTTTATGTGTTCTCTTTTCCAGCTATACATTTTCTCCCCCTCATATTGGGAATATGCAATGTAGGTCTCCCAAATCCATAAATCTCTTTTAGAAACATTATTTTGTTTCATTTAGAGACAAACAAGAATAAGGAGGTTCTTATCCAACATTGATCCCAACTTACTTTTAATATCCACCTATGTCCATTATTACGATGGAATAATAAATATTGCATATTCTAAGATGAAAAATGTCTGACTCCTGACCAAAAGCCAAATATAATGGGAGAATTCACAATACATTGTTGGCTTGATGCATTTATGTGCAAAAATATATAAAATCAATCATCCCAACACTCAGTAGGAATTCTGTTATCATAAACTCTGATCTAGCTTCTTATAGAGGCTTTTACTAAGCATATAATTATCAGCAACGTGAGGAACAATCACTAGCAATCTCAACAAGAATCGTATTGATTTCATAATCAAGAACTTATATACTTAATGTAATTATCTGAACATATTTGCAAACTTCAGGTTGCAAGTTGATCATAAACGCCTGTGACCATTTTATAGATGCATCTTTCACTTATAGAGTATTACTTTGGTCTACATGGTGTCTAAATGGGCCCATATATAAATCTGATACATTATAAATCTGTACGGATCCGATTTTGAGCATAGCTAGTGATGTTCTCTATGAGAACAAACAACACATAAAAATTCTTGAATCACATATCATTTTAAAGAATCTTCTAGTTCTTTAATAAATGACAATGCACATTTTTTATGATATTTTGCATCATTATGATCCGGGATGATCTAACCGGTCATGCCAAACTATGAATGCATAAACTTCTGGTTTATTGTAAAATTATTCTCAATTATTGGTAAACTTCTTGTTACCATGTTATATTATTTATTTATTTTCCTTAATATTCCATAAGGAATATGTTATCAATTATAGATTTTATCTTCAGGATAATAAATAATGATATAACTCTTCTAGAGCATTAGTTTTTATCCTATACCCAAATGGTAGAAACCTGTGCACTCATGGAAGGTTGAGCGCTATTGGCTCTTCTGGAGCTTTTTTTAAAAGGAACATGAGATATAAGGAATGAAATTAATATCAATAATAACAAATTCCATCTAACATGATTCACACTTGTATTTCAATAATTTCAACAATCTCCCCCTCAAGTGTGAGTCATATAAATATATTTTTCTTATTTTTGTATTTCAAATACAATGAATAATATATAGTAAGCTAATAACATATCTTTAACTTGAAAATCTAAATACTTCCTGATTCATATATAATAATAGATTTAAATCTAATTGAGCTATCACTTTAAGACCCTTTAATAAGCAAATATTCTAATATAAATGTTTGTGGGTCATAATTTTTCATTATCAATTTCTTTTCTGCCCACAAAAATAATGGGGGGAACTACATTAGTTATTCAAGAACTATATCAATTTTGTTACTAGTTCTTCATGAACTATATCAACATTTTGCTATTAGTT